GCATCAGAGTTTCTTGCAGGTGCCCCCTATCTCGCTTTCAACCTCAGCTCGACGTAAGGCCTTGACGATCACTCTGGTCAGGTACGATCAGGGTCCATATAGGTGTCAACCAGTTTGTAATATAAAAGACTTGTTTCTTTCTGAATATGAAAAGTATACTTCCTTTGAGATATGATAATACATGACTTTGATTGAGCTACCTCGATCTCCAAAAATTAACGAAGATGACTCAAGTCCTTATTCTAGAAGTTTTGAAATAAGTGTTGTTTTAAAGTCTTTATACCTTAAAAATCATTATATGTAATTACAATGTCGTCAACATAAACCATTAGATAAATATATTTATTTAATGAGGAGAATTTGATGATCTGATAAAAACAAAGTGATCTTATTTACAACAATTCCTCCCATATTGTTGCAACACTTCACTAAATCTTCTAAACCATGTTCGAGGTGATTGTTTCAACCCATATAAAGACTTGTGCAATTTACATACTCGTTTACACGTTCCTGAGCAAAGAACCTGAGAGGTTGATCCATGTAAATCTCCTCTTCCAAGTCACAATGCAAGAATGCATTCTCGATATCCAATTGAAATAGAGACCAATGTTTCATGGCATCCATGACCGGAAAGAGACCAAATTCCATATTTACTACTGGAGAAAAAGTATCACTATAATATTGACCATGAACTTGAGTATATCCATTTTCCACTAGGAGAGCTTTCAATTGATTTACTTGTTCATCAGGACTCGGCTTAACATTAAATATCCACCTACAAACAACAATAGATTTTCCATAAGGAATAGGAACAAGCTCCCAAATATGATTAGATTCCAGAGTTGACATTTCACCAAGTATTGCATGTCTCTGCCCTGAATGGGATAATGCTTCTAGAATAGTTTTAGGAATAGAAATAGATGCAAGTGTAGTAATAAAAGCAAAGTGTCCATATGATAATTGGTGGTATGATATACAACTATAAATAGGATAAGGGTTACAAGTTAAACGATTACCTTTACGGATGACAATGGGCAAATCAAGAGATGTAGCCGAATCAGGGTGGAGGCGCTTGGAATAGGAGCTGAGCACGTGGTCCAAAACTTCTCTCATAGGTAATTCCATATCGATTCAACAGTGGTGTTGATTCATTTATCGCAATGTTTGGACTAGATGATAAAGGAGTGGGCTCAAGCAATTCAAAATACAGAATATGCAAGACTTGATCTTAATCAGTTGTCAAAATATTTTAGTTGGAAAAGTATGATATTTGCTCAAAGATTTTAACATTTAAAGACGTGTAGAACGAGAGAAGCATTGATATCTCTTTTAAACGCTAGAGTAACCCATGAAAACACATTTGATAGCACGAGAAAACATCTTATCACAACCTGGGGACAAATCATGAACAAAATAAGTACACCCAAAGACACGAGGGGAAACAACATGTAAGGGGTTTATAGGGTGAAATAGGAAATTAGGAACCTGGTCATTCAACATAGAGGATGGCATTCAATTAATTAAATACCTGATAGTAAGAACAACATCACCCCAAAACTTTAGAGGTACACTGACATTTAGTAACATGGTACGAGCAATGTCAACAATGTTTTTATGTTTTCTTTCAGCAACACTATTTTGTTGAGGTGTTTGAGGATAACTTGATTGTTGTACAACGCCTTTGGAGTGCATGAAAGAGTTAAAATGGTCAGAGAAATATTCTTTTACATAGTCACCGCATAAAATGCGAATAGTTTTGCCAAATTATATCATGATTTTAGAACAAAAATTCTTTAAAATATTAAACAACTCATAATAATCTTTCATTAAAAACACCCAAATACATCTTGTGAAATCATCAATAAAAATAACATAATATTTATACCCTAAGATAGAAGAAATATGATAGGACCTCAAACATCAGAGTGAACAACATCAATAGAGACATGGCTTTGTTATTAATACAAATGGTAAAAGAAACTCTCACATGTTTTCCTAACTAAAAAAGACTCACTATGTAAGGACTCTAAATGAGGAAGATCATACACCATTTTCTTCAATTTTATAAACTCGGATGACCTAAGCGACGATGCAGAAGATCAGGAGTTTTAGTAGTTACCCATATAGTGGAAATGGGATGTTGAAGATAGTAAAGACCACTAGATTTAATCATGACTTCAATCCTTTGTCTCGTACTCCGGTCTTGTATAAAAAAAGAATTGGAAGTAAAGGTTATGGCACAGTTTAAAGAGTTGGTTAATTTGCTTATATAAATCAAATTGAAAGGACAATTAAGAATCAATAAAATAGATCAAAGAAGTGAGTGAATATGTGACACTTGTCCAACACCAGTTGCCTCAACTTTAGGTCCATCTGCACCAGTAACATAATGTGGATATTTTGGTGGTGATAATTTAGAGAAAAGTGAGACATTACCGAACACATGGTCCGAAGCACCAAAATCCATAACCCATCCATGAGGTGTAATACGAGAGAGAGAAAAACTATAGAATTACTCGTATGAGCAACAATAGCCGAAGAGGTGGAATATTGTGTTGCCTTCAACTTCAAATACTTTATAGAGGTTTGAGCAACATTAGCAGTTTTGTTGGGGAAGTTTCGTGAGTTGAAACACTGGTCTTAAGTGTGCTCATCCTTCTTACAATGAGTACAATAGAAGTTACATCTATCCCCTCTACCACGTCCTCCACCACGACCATGTCCATCGCGTCCTCCACTAGTAAATTTAGAATCAAAAGCAAAGGACTCGGGAGCAGTATGAGGGACATCACTTGGCAAGGATACTCAGACAAGGCTATTTATTAGCTCTTTTATCGTAGGGGTGATATTATTTGTTAACGCATGTACTTTAACCAAACTATATTCTTTAGAGAGACCATGAAGAACAAACATCATGGACTTATTATCATGCTTGCCCAATACCTTCGTAATATCATCACTAACCAACATAAGTTTGAGGCCATCAATAGTGGACTGAGAACATGAATATTCTCATAAGTCTTGATCATTCATTTGAAGAGTAGCCAAGTTGCGAACCAATTTATACTATCTTTAAATATCATTAGCATAAGGTTTTTAGCCTTCTTTCAAACCTCATAACATGTCTTATACAGACAAAAGTGTCCATCATCTTTGGCTCAATAGAATTCCATAACAATGATACAAGTTGATAATCAGTGGATTCCCAATAATATTTTATTGTTGCATCAATCTCAGAAACCTTCTTAGTAAGATGGTCTGACAGACGTTGACTCAAAAACCATAACTCAACCAAAGCATACTGGTTCAAATAGTTCTTATTACCATTCAATTTTTCTGTGATAATAACGAATGTTCCTTGAAACACAAACGAAGTTAGACTCTTTTTAAGAGGATTATCCTTAACAACAACTTCCTTTGACTGAGAGTTTTCAATCCTGATGCTTCAACAACACCAAATAAGAACAAACAAATACGTCGGAGGCAAAGACTCGGGTGAAACACGCCTTCAACGTGAGACCCACACACTAAAAGTGATCCCCAATGTAATCAGATTGAAAAACTGATCGTATAGCAAGAATCACTGCCAGAAATAGATGTTCAGAGGGCGACGCTTAGCCTTCACGCACTGGCGCGTGGGCGAGAATGACGGTGCGTGGGAGATGCAGATGGTGGAGTATGGCTAATCAGCTAGCAACGCAGTTTTATTAGGTGGCAGATCGATGACTTTTGACCACTGTAGAAGGTTGTGTGACACTATTACCAGCGACTGCAAATTTAAATAAAGTAGACTTTTGAACAACCAAGAGAAAAATAACTAAAAATTAGGACTTTAAACAAAGAGCAGGAAAAAAAAATTAAAATTAGAGTTTTGAACTACGCTCTATCAATTTGAATATGAATTTTCTTATTATATTATGTAGAGGATAATAATATCACAGTCGTATCAGGGGCCTATGTCAATGCTTCATAGTTTTTTGCATGAGTGAGCGAATAGATGCAAGTTGATGTTTGATATGTTTTGCAACCTGAATAGTGGGTTGAAGCGTCTCAACAAATCTGCTTTGGTGAGCAGCGAGCTTGGCCAAATCCACACCAATTCCTAGTTCATTTGTGCTTCTCTATTGATTTCCTTTTACATATGAATCACTCACTTGGGATTGAAGATATTGACATTTATAAATTACAATATATACTAATTTTGATAAAAGAGTAATGCTATATAATAAGAATCAATTGAAAATATTGTTATCAATACATCCCTAACAAACATATGTTAATATACGGGGTGTTGACAGAATATATGTAACACTGTCACTTCATCACTTCAGATTGAAGATATACTAAAATCAATATTGTATTGTTATATATTCAGCAATTCCAAATTATACTGCTGTTGACATAGTCGTAACTAAGTTTCTTGTCTATGCTTCATAGTTTTTTGCATGTGGGAGAGTGAGTAGATGCAAGCTGGCTGATGTTTGATGTTTTTTTTTAGTTGGAGATTCTGTTTTTCATGCCGGTGGATTGTCTAATGCCATTGAAATTTATACACAAGTCAGGATCCATTTCAAATTTTACAGTTAACAAAATTTCATTCATGGTGGTAAAATGCATCTTTATTGAATTGCCTTAGTCTTATTTTACTAAAGAATCATTGATTTAGCCGAATTCCAAATAAATCATCACGTAGTCAAAAACAACTAGTTGACAGAGTAATATAAACTGAGTGTAAAACCAAAAGAGTCAAATTAGAAATGGAGAATGAACTAAAAAATAGAAATGAGTAAATTATTCTAGAGTTTTATGTGAGCTACATCAAGCTCATAAGTATTCAAACTCTTTCTTGATAAAATAGCTTGACCTCAACATAGTCATGAAAAAAAATAAAGATCTTGCAAAATATTAAATCTCCTCAGGCTGCAACTTCTAATATTGCAGTCCTAGCTCAGGCAGATCAAACCGCAAAATAGACACCAATATAATATAATACACTTGGATCATTGAGGCTTCCCAGTACCAAGCAGCTGACCAATTAGATTAGTCACCTGGCAACACACAAAAAAAAAAGTCTACTTTAGACAACAAGACAGTGATTATCGTTAACATGCGCGGTTTCCATGAATTCTCATACGTAAAATCCATATTCAGAACTTTTATGATTCATCTCTTTGCATTGTTGTATCACACTATCAGGGCAATAAATAATAGAAATGAAGAGTACACTATTTAACAGATGATAAACCCAACAAAGATTGCATCTTCAAAAACCATATTCAGATCACAACTTCTATGATTTATTGTTTTGCATTTTATCATACAATTAAGGCAATAAATAGTAGAAATTTCAAAAAGAGCACACATTTTTAACAGAAAGCAAACCCAAGTTACCCAACTAAGATGGAATTCTTAAACACCCAAGAAACTGTCTTAACATTAGAAACAAACAATCAAATACTGATTTGCAATTTAAATAAAATACTAATAAAATAGCTGAAATAAACACACAAAAACCTCCTAGTGACACATTCAATCCAAAATAAGACATAAGGAACACTTACATGCCAGTATTTGGAAACACAGCGGTCAATGCAACTATTTTCACCCATATTTAGCTCAGACTCCTTGTACCTGAGAAAATAACATGACAAACATATACTTAAATCATTCACAATAGATAAACCTTCAAGTGAATAAGAAACTAGTCTCCAATTTCACTGGAAGACCTTCAAACACATATCAAACATGTCGATTTCTTAAACAGTTGATGAAAATTAAAAAAAAATAAAAGCTTTTTCTTACTTATTGTCAACACACTTGTTGAAACAGGTCTGAGTCATCCTGAAAAGTAAAAACAAAAAAAAAGTAAGCCAAATCAATTACTATGCCAATAACAATTTATTCATGATACTTGTTACAAAAATCACAGAGCAAAATCATAACAAGATAAATGTAAATAGTCTAGTTAGTACCAAATTACCAATTTCTAATTTATATGTTACATACAAAGATATCTAATTTCTGAAAAATGAAAAAGGGCTAATGCAATTGTTGTGAAGAGAAAAGTTGAAAGAACCCTACTTATTGAACAATTCGACTCTATACTCCATCTCTTTTTCAGCCATTCCAAATATCTGCACAGTTACCAAATCAATCATTCAAACACAGCAACAAAAAAAAATCAAGGAAGGGATGATAAAAATAAAACCCAACAATAAAAAATCAAACTTGGAATGAAAAGGGGGTGAATTTTGGAGAAAAGCATAGAGACGGAAAAATGAATCGGAGAAAGGGAAAAGAATACCTGCCTGTTCTTTATCGAGAGCAGTAGGGGGCACTCCATTTGCGGCCATTGTAGAGCACAAGAGTTGAGATTATGGAGATAATCGAATTGCAGAGGAGACGATGAAGAAGTAAACCCTGAAACTTTCAATTAGGTGGAGTATATGATTTAGGGTTTTTGGAGGTGTGTACAACAACACTACAACTTGACGGCGTGGTAGATTTCTAAAAGGCACACTTTTATAAATATAGAGATAAATTATTTATTTACAAAGACTAAACTAATAATAAATTTAAGAGAGAACAATATTTTTAATTTTGAAAATTAGTTTTTTTTTTCAAAACTATTATTTGATAACTTTGTCAATTATCTATTAAACCGATGTCAATTATATGGAGATTTTCATGGGGATTATTTGTTCGGAATTTTGAAATAAGAGATTTTGTTCGTAAAAATAGAGATAGAGAGAAAAGTTCTTTCGATGATACTTTGAGGCGGGGATTAGAGAAGTATCTTCCATTTCACAGATCTTCAATTCTGATTATATTATTTAACTTTTATATTTTATATACTATATAATATATAATTATATGATTTTACATATTTTTAATTAAAAAATTAATATATTAAAAAATAAATTTTTTTTTTCAGAAAAAATTAATAACAGCTACTAGTGATTTTACATTTTTTTTTGTTATTAATGCAAGATGTGTTAAAAGTTATTGTTCTACAAAAGACAAAATTGCTCTACTCTTTCCTTAATGTGTCACGTGGCTAGCCTAACAATTCAGCCTCTCTTTTATAGAAAATCCAATTGCATATTTCTTATTCCAATTCTCAGACGGTTTCGTATTCTTCTTCTTTTATGACGGTTTTGCGAACGGTTTCTGATCTTCTCGGATCAGAATTGGACCGTCACAGCTGGCTTGAACTGGATTTGAATGAGATGGGAGGGGTACCTGCAAGACACTCTGATGATAAAATGAGAGACGAAATAGGCAGGCAAAAAATATGTAGGTGCGTAACGAATGAATATCTTACCCTCTTCAAGTAGAGGGTATTTATAGCCCCCAGCGCTGGGCCAAGGTCCCTTTACTGGACCGACCAGAACTGGCCCAACAAAGGGACTGTCGGGTTCTACGTGTGTAGTAGGGACCCGCACGTGGTCCCCTTCCTGGATGGTGCTCTGCGAAGAGTGAGGAAGAACGAAGACGCGGTCTTCCCGGAGCTTTAAGGATCCCATAACATTCGGAGCGGACAGAGTCTGCCCTACGGGGAGGATGCTCGAGCAAGACTCGAGTTGGAGTGCCCTTGGTCGGGGACGTTGCTCGTTGCGGGTAGCGACGAGCATAACCGTTATGGTCTGTGACTGGGTATGTTCGGGGTGGTCTGATTTCGAGCACGGCTCAAGGAACTTCCTGGATCTGGGCCTTTACTTGTGTTTTGGGCCAAGGCAGGCCCAGTCCAGAACAGGAGCCCCCCAAGTCGTTGTTCTTGGCACAGGAGTTATGACTTGATCTCAATTTTTTCTCTCGCGGGGACCTCGTGCCCGACTCAAGGCTTTTCCCTTTCGAGATGTACTCAAGGATCGCTCGCGGGGATGCGTCAGCTGCGTCTGTTGGATACGTGGCATAGTCCTTGGAAATCGCAGCGCCGCCCTAGTAAATAGGGCCATTATTGTCTAGGTGAGTAGGTGTCGAGGACGGGGGCGGTTCCCCGGTGCGACGTTTAACATTCCAAGTCATCTCTATAAATAGGATCCCTGGGCCCATAGTCTGTTTCACCTCTTCACGCTCCTCCTACCTTCTCTGTTTTTATATCCGTTGGTTGTCGTAACGCTGTTGAGGCCGCCGCGCTGTTCGCCGTCTGATTACTCCCACTGCCGTTGTTTCTACGTATCTTCTTCCAAGTAAGCATCCTTTCTTCCTGCTTCCCTGTGTTGTAGATAGCTTTGATGACGTTTGTGATACGGTGGGAAGAACTGACTGTTTTTTGGAATGCTGGTTTGCGTTTTGCGTTTGTTTTCGCAAAATGTCGCGGTAAGCGAGAGTCGCCACCGACTTTTATTTTATCCAACAAGGAAAGGAAAAAAGCACATAAAAATTCCTTTTTCAAGATATTTCTCGGGTTCGGGGGGTAGATTATAGAAAGGGAAGGTGTTAGCACCCTTTCTATCCGTGGTTATCCACGGGCTCTTAGGTACTTGCTCATATTGTTTTCAAAATTGTTTTCTTTGTGCTTGTGGGTTTGAAAAAGTTTTTGTTTGAAAACTTCGATTTAACTCTTGCTTCTGTCCTCAAGAGTGTATGAAGTGTTTTTGAAAACTTTGTTCGAAAAGTGTAAGTGTGAAAAGTTTTTTTGTTTTTGAAAGAGCAAGTATCTAAGAACCATCTACCTACTCGAAAAAGGAATCATTCTATGATATCTTCCTTTAGACAATGTTATCCCACTATGAATGAGTAGGTAGCACCGTTGTTGGAGTTTAAGGGTCAATTCGAATTTAGGGACTTACGGTCACCAAAGCAATGTTAGGACGCCTTAGCGGTAACCCTAATGTCTTAGATCATTTGTTTTGAGGCAACAATATCTGAGGCAATCGTTTCGAGGCGACTATGATCTTTTAGACAAGAGAACGACCTCTAAAGTGACCTATACTCAATGACCGTGTACGAAAGCAACCAAGTGGGGTGTACCCTAAGAGTGCGCATGTGCGAGTGTGTCGTTTTCAGTTAATTTTATCTTTGTACATGTTAATGGTGATCTATGTTGATTTTAGGTTAAAATATTCAGTCTTGTCATGCTATCCTATTATCAAACATCTAGCAGTTATATTTTGCGGAAAATAAAAGTGCGGAAATTAAATTACAAGGCGTCGGGTATTTACATCGTCAAAGACAAACCCTTTAAAAATAAATAAAGCGATAAAAAGAATAAAATGTCCTATTTACTATTACAAACCGGAGGCAAATACATAAATGGATAAAAGAAAATAAATCGCATGCGGGAAATTAAATCGAGCGCAAAGTTCTAGGGTTTTGACCCTTTTTTGTTAAAGAAAAGATTTTTTTTTGTTATTTTTATTTTAAGAAAGAAATTAACCTAAATTAATTACTAAATTAAATTAATTAAATTAATTAATAAAAATAAATTATTTTTGGATTTTTAGTATTTTAAGAAAGAAATAAAAATTAATTGAATTAGTAAAAACCTAATTAAGTCTAATTTAATTTTAATTATTTACAAAAATGTTAAAGTTATTCTAATTAAGAACCTAAATTAATTTAATTAGTATTTATTAATAAAAAAGAAAAGTTAAAATTTGATTAAACATGAAAATATTTTTGTGATTTTATTTTATGAAAAGGCTGAATTTTAATTGGTTAGTTAATTAAGCAAAAATAATAAAATAATTAAAATAAACAAAATAAATAAAATAGAGAGAGAGGGGGGTATGGGCCTGAAATGGGGGCATGAATGGCAATCTGAAGGCCCATTACACGCTGGTCTTGTTGGACTTTTGGCCTTGTTGGACTTTTGGGATCAGGTGAGCACGCGTTGACTGGATCTATGGTGGGCCTTCAGATCCTGGCCACCAGATTTGGCCTTTGGCCATCTGGCCATTGGATAGATGAATGTGTATGGTACACTGCAAGTCCTCATGCGCATTGGAATACCTGAAGAAAAAACATATTGAGAAAGTGGAGGATCTGGGATTCGAACCCAGGTCCTGATGGATATTGAACGTGCATGCTTGCCACTAGGACGCTTTGTTTCATTTGTTAGTAACATACAAAATAAATATAATATAATGAAATCCAAACATATGCCAGCAAAACAAAAAGGAGCGCGCTTGGTTTAAACGGACGTATGGGAGAACGACAACTCATCGTCTCCTACCTCCAGCTCCTGCAAATATTACTTGCGGATTTGGATCCGCAACTAAATGCACAAGCTTGCTCTAAAATCTTCCCTAGGCCACATAAATCAATTCCAAAAACATGGCTGAGTTTGTCTTGGCTTGCTGATTAACACCATGCCCTTCTTTAGTCCCAATTTTTCCTGAAAAAGAAAACCCTAAAAACAAAAACGCAACCCTAGCTATGGTGCTTTGGGGTTACAACGCCTATGAACCAAATTGAATATTGCTAAAAGCTTGGAAAAGTTATAAGGATTATAAATATGCCAAGGATTTATTCAAATGATGCAAGAATGAAGGTTTACGATTCCATGAACAGAGCGGGTTATCGTGATACTTACAGTGCGTTGTGGTGTGTGAGGAAGCTTGCTTTTGATCCAGGAAGGTTGAGTGAACACCCAGGAAACGATTGAGATAGGCTTTGGCTTCTGAAAACGCCTCTAGCTATGATTTCGAATTCAAGCTTTTTGTCAATTTTTCCAAACTTTGTTCTGCCTCTTCTTGCAGCCTCCCCCCTTGTTTCGTTCCTTGTGGCTTCCTTATGTATCATACAATGTGCTAGGGTAACAAATTTGGAAGGAATCTCTCTAAATCAATGCATTGGAATTTGATTTGATTCATTCTTTAAACCTTTCCAATCTTGCTAATTTTCAATATTTTTGTACATGTGTTTCCAGTGATTTCTGGTAAACAACCGCTAGTCTTCCAAACTATCGAATAATCTTTATTAACGCTACTCAATCTCTCTGGTAACTCACAGGATCGACTAGATTGATCCTAGGACTCCTTGGATATTAAAGTTACTCTCACAATCGAACAATTATTCATGGTTGCTATTGTACAAGTGTTTGGTTTATTTCGATCCTTCTCTCTAAGAGTTTAAAAATGTAGTCAAATTGTACATGAAAACTAAATTATACGAATAAATGCTAATTGTAATGCTGATTGAAGAGACATGTAAAACTGTATGAAAAATGAAGTAAATGATTTCGATTTGCAAAACATTTAACATAAAAGGTTTCTGGAATGTAGAAGTTTAAAATGTAAAGAAAGCGTTTAATGCAATTTTAAGTAAAAGGATGCGTTTGAAAAACAATACTTGGAAGTAAAGGTATTGAAAGCGTAACAGTTCTCTGAAATATAAAGTGCTCGAA